AACTAGGAAATGTTTTCTCTTTACTTTTTTGACTGAAGGTGGCCCTGCAGCTTCTCTTCTTCGATGGCGAGGAGGCCTTCATCTCGTGGTCCCCTGAGGATTCCATCTATGGCTCTCGTCACATAGTTGCGCACACGCTTCAGGCTACTAGTGGCCGCGCGGCCTGCACGGACTTGTCACGTATTGTGAGTAGCTATGTTTGGTGTGGCTGCTTTGTTCGTGCTGTGCCGTACAAGGGCAATGAATGATCATCCATCGGCCTCTAGGGCACGGCAAGTTACCGAAAGGGACCTCCGACATAAGCTTAGGTAGCAGATTGAAAATTATATATTTTGTTATTTATCGTCAGAACTTGAGGACTTCTAAAAGCGAGGCATCATTAAATTCATTCGAAGATGAAGTAGTATCATAGAACACGCTAGACTATGTAGCATCTGCGGATAATAGTTTTGTCATTAACCAGCATTACCTGATCAGTGAGCGACACGCTATCGTAACTGTAAGATGTATTTATCCTCAGAGATGCGCGTGAGCATGTATTTTTCTTTCTCTTTGTACATGCTAAAAACAGGATTCACTGTCTTCCCAATCCAATACTTCCAACGTATTTTTTTTTTCAGGATCTTCTTGTACTCCTTGATCTTCTCGGAGCAGCTAACACCTACTTCCCTCGTTACCCGCATTGTGATGAGTCCGTTTACCGGATGATGCTTGATGTCGGTATGTTCCCCTTCGAAGCCCTTAATTTTCTCCAAAATGATAGTCGTCTTTTAACCCAGAGAGACTGTTTTGTTTCCCTTAATGCGCCTCATAGTCAGGAAAATATGGTATTCATTAAATCCGCCAAAAGCACAAATTGGACCTAAGTTACTGGAGCCACGGATTTTATAGTTCCTAATTAAAGGAAGTCCCGATGGGCTATTTTTTCACTGATCCCACTCTTCACAGTACTTATTCCATGCTTCATTGGATATCCTCTGCGGAGTATGATTAGGTAGTTCTATAAGTCCGATTTTCGGTAAAAAAAAATTTTGAAACTCTTGTGGTCGGCCTCTTCAGGTGATTAGAGTGGC